TCAGACCCTGACGTGACGCTACGCACTTTTCTACGTCACAAACAAGATTTTACAAATATGAGCACTGGCGTGGATTTAAGCACACGCACACTTTATAAATGAGGCCCCAGAGATGAAGGTCATAATACTAATATTAATATTAATCCTAATATTGTCAGAAAATTATAAATCCTTTAAGGTCTCATTGATTAAATTAGGTGCAAATGGTTCAAGATTGACTTTAAAATACATATACATCATTCATTAGTTTAATATTGTTTAATGCAATGTATTTGCAAAGAAGATATGTGATCGTAAAGGCTTTAGGTAATTAAATAGTACTTTATTTTATATTTTTATATATCCTAAGGGTTCTCAACTCTGGCACTCGAAGTCCACTTTCCTGCAGATTTTTGATACATTCTTGATCAAACTGATCTGGCTGTGACTTTCTAGTAATCCCCAAAGATTTAATTAGCTTTTTCAGGTTTATTTGGTTAAGGTTGGAGCTTAACTCTGCAGAACTGAGGACCTTGAGGGCCAAATGTGAGAACCTCTGTCCTAATAATACAAAAAAAAATAATTTGTCTAGTTGCTAGACATGACTAAAAATAGTTTCCGGGACTCGAATTTGGGACACCCAAATATGGAAGAAAAATAATGCCATATGTCTTTGAACCAAAAAAGCATGTTGAATAGCACTAATTGAAAAAATAAGGCATTGCATTAGCAGTGCTTGCATTTTAATGCCTTGTATTTCCAGGGCTTGCATTTTTAGGTCCTGAAATCTAACATAGTTGTTTATTTAAGCTGTGAATATTTCAATTCAAAATGTTTCACAGACATTTTCATAATTTAACATTCAATCATTCATATTCACCTTCCAGAATTCACTTCCAAAATATTAAATCTGTTTAAACATACAATGTATAATATTCGACAGGCAAATTTCGGCCTATTTTGTTTCACTTTACAAATTCGCTTCCACAAATTCAGTGGTTAAAATTCAGCAGAAAATTCGCCATTGCACATCCGGGAGCTGCAGGAATAGCAGTAGAGCACCGATGCATGATCTCCAGCTGCTATCAGTCGACGCTCACTAGCAGGTGGTGCAAGCGGCTGTTGATGAAGACCACAGCAACAGGTGAATCAAATCATTCATTCACAAAAACTGATCTGCAGAAATGGAGCCAGCGCTAAGTAGAAGTTTTGATTATCGGGGCCAGTATAAACATGTGGAAAAGCTCATTGTGTGTATGTTTAATTCAACATCTTCGCTGTTTCCCGTAGCCTACATGTAAGCAGCTTTCTCTACCACAAATGAGATTATAATGCTATTTTACCCAACGTTGAAGTACAGAACTAACATAACATCTGAGGAAGACATATATTGTTTTCGGTTGCTTAGTTTCCATAACTTTGTATCATGGCTTGTGTGATGCTGTGCTGTAATACTGGGGTTCCCCTCATACCTCACACTCCAGGATTCCCCGAAGATGTGAACTAATACAGTGATATAAGACCTCAGATCTCAGAATACACTTTACTGATGATTATGTGAACTATATACAGGCAAGCAAGTGAGTTCAGAAGAACGCAACATGCTGCATTTTCTTTATAATTGCTTTCTCTTACCACTGATCTATAGACAGTCCTACAAAGATATCAATACCACGATTAGTTTTAACTAGGCATGCACCGATACTGGTATCGGGCCCGATACTGGTCTCCTGTACTCATACTTGTTAAAATGCCCAGATACCAAACGCTGATACCACACAGCATGTGTTAAGCACCATATTCAAACAAAGAAACACCGACAACAGAACAACAGACAGCAGAAAGGAGTTAAGGATGTCTACTACTGGTGTGTGCGAGCTGATAAACAAAGCGCGCTGAGTGGATTGAGTGCACGGCGGCGCAGATGCGCGAGCTTGTCGAGTGAATATATCCTTCTCACAGACATCACTGGAAAGTTTGTAGTTCGGTCAGATATGTCAAAAACAAGCAAGTAAACAATGCACAAGTTACTTAACGGTAGGGGGAGAGAGAGAGAGAGAGAGAGAGAGAGAGAGAGAGAGAGAGAGAGAGAGAGAGAGAGAGAGAGAGCGCACACTTTTGTTGTGTGATCTTTGATGTTCACTCACTTAGCACACGCATCATTTGGATTAAAACTTAATCGTAAAAATAAGACCATTTATAGGTGCATTCACTATAAACATCATCTATTTTCAACCTTAAGCATACATGACTTTCTGGCGAAAGTGAAACTAACAGCCTGTGTGAAATGCGCTAAACTGTACTACTGTCCTCTCATTCTGCATCAGTACAAATACGTACACGCATTGTGCGTGTTTTGCTTGCTTGAGTGTTTCTGCATTATATGAGTGGATTTGGAACATAAATCGCAACACGTTTCAGATGAAAAAACGTGACTTCTATTTCTGAAAATATCACAGTTAGGAGATTTATAACGAGTGGTTCCCTGCATTATTACAGCAAAGC